CCACACTTTGGGAGGTCGAGGCAGGCAGACCACTTGAAGGATCGCCCAGGAGTTCAAGACCAGCCTGGACAAGATGGTGAAACCCCATCTCTACACCGAAAAAAAAAAAAAAAAAAAAAAAAAAAGCTGGCCATGGTGGCATGTGCCTATAGTCCCAGATACTATGGAGGCTGAGGTAGGAGGATCGCTTGAGCCTGGGAGGTTGAGGCTGTGGTGAGCCATGATCGTGTCACTGCACTCCAGTTGGATGACATAGCAAGACCCTGTCTCCAGGAGAAAAAAAAAAAAAAAAAAAAGGTAGGGTGAGAGGGCTGACCTGGACCCCTTCTCAATGAATTCTCCCACCTCCTCCCCACCCAGAAACCTCGGCCAAGGAAGGCTTGCTTCTGTGGTGCCAGAGGAAGACAGCACCGTACCGCAACGTCAACGTGCAGAATTTCCACACCAGGTCTGTCAGCTGGTTACCAAATGTGTCTGGGCCTCTGTGGGGCACTGGGCATAGAGAGGAGCCCTCCCTGGTCAGTGAAGGGCACTGAGCTGGTCCCTATCACAAGCCACAGGGGAGGAAAAGGTCACAGCACAGTTCCTGGAACAGTGTCTGAAAAGAGGGCTCAGTAACTGCTGAGTGGAATGGAATTGAATCCAGGAAGGTTCCAGTAACTCCTGGAGGAGGGAGTGTTTGAGACTTCCCTGGAAGGCCATTCCAGCCAGAGAGAAGCTGGAGGCCAAAAACATCTAGAAACTGGTTGGGCCTAAACATGGGTGTGTGACAGAATCGTGATGAGCCAGCAGGAGATGGTCCAGATACGGTCATGAAGGGCCTCAAACGCCAAGCTAAGGGGTTTGTGCTTTACTCCATTTTACAGATGAGGCTATCCTTCTGGGGGGTGCTCCTGGGCCGAGGGGAGAATGGGGCCCCAGCGTGAACCCAGGCCTGACCCCCCTCTTCTCCCTGTTCAGCTGGAAGGATGGCCTGGCCCTCTGTGCCCTCATCCACCGACACCGCCCCGACCTCATCGACTACGCCAAACTGCGAAAGGTAGAGACCCCTACCACCCCCACCGACGGCCTCTGCCTGCAGCTGACCTTTCACCCTCCTCCCTCACACCCATCTAGGATGACCCCGTCGGCAACCTGAACACTGCCTTCGAGGTGGCAGAGAAGTACCTGGACATCCCCAAGATGTTGGATGCAGAAGGTGCGAGTGAGCTAGCCCAGGGGAGGACCCCACATTCTCACCACTGGGCCTGGTGCACCCTCCACACCTTTGCATGGCCCTTTCCTCCTCCTGGGATGCTTCGACTGCCCCCACCCCACTCCCTGGTCACAGTCCCCCTTCTCCAGCAGTCCTCTATCTTGTCCCCTGCCCCATCCCCTGAAGAGGACCAGCCTCTCCCGCCTCTCCGCTATGTAATGGCCCTACCTTCTGCCTCCCATCCCAGTTACCTGGGTTACCTGGGATAACATTGGTCCCCCAAGAATGGCAGCTCCCCTGGGGCATGTCCTGCCTGTCCCCATGCTTAGGCAAGGCAACAGTCAACTGAAGCAGCAAACACTTTCTGAGCATCTACTTTGCGTGATGCCTGGGCTGTGTGGGCACTGCTGGAGAACTTTTTCTTGCCCTGAGGAGCTGTGGACTTGGGGGAAAGAGACAGACAGAGGGAGGTATAGGACAGTTCAAGGCACGAGGCAGCGTGGACCAGTCCCTCATGAGGCCCACGGTGGCTGGTCAATCACACTCACCCACCCACTCCCTCACACTTTGCTCACCCCAAGGTGGGGAGGTGGGGAAGTTGCTGAGCCCTGGGATAAGGAGAGAGGGCTTCAAGGAAGAGAACACACTGGGCTTGGGTGACTGGCTGCTGGTGGCCATGACTAGATACTTCCAGCCCTCCCACCCAGAGGGAGTTCTCTCCCTAGGGAGGGACCCCTGGCTTTGGCCAGTAGACACCGTGCTGTCCTGCCCTAGACATTGTGAACACCCCAAAGCCGGATGAGAAGGCCATCATGACCTATGTGTCCTGCTTCTACCATGCCTTTGCCGGGGCTGAGCAGGTAAGGTGGCCCAACTGCTACTGCCTGGGCTTGCGGACCCAAGGGCCCAACCTTGGCTGCAGCCCAACATTGGAGGCGCCAGACCACACAGGTGGGAGTGCCACTGTCCCAGCTGCACACACTCAGTCCTCAGCAAGACCAGAGGACCCTGGTTTGGAAACTCCCTGCCTACCTAGGAGCCGTGCTCCCCCCATCCCTTTCCCTATTTGCAGGGGCTCCGTTTTTTGTTTGTTTTTTGAGACAGGGTCTCACTCTGTCACCCAGGCTGGAGTGAAGTGGCATGATCACAGCTCGTTGCTGCCTTGACCTCAGCCTCCTGCCTCAGCCTCCCCAGTAGCTGGGACTACAGGCACATGCTACCACACCTGGCTAATTTTTGTATTTTTTGTAGAGATGGTGTTTCATTATGTTGCCCAGGCTGGTCTCAAACTCCTGGACTCAAGTAACTTACCCACCTCAGCCTCCCAAAGTGTTGGGATTACAGGCATGGGCCACCACGCCCAGCTGGGGGCTCTGTTTTTCAAGGGCTTTACAGAGGCAGCTTGCTTTAATGCCAGCCCTCTACCAACTACCCCCATAGGCAGAGACAGCTGCCAACAGGATCTGCAAGGTGCTGGCGGTGAACCAGGAAAACGAGAAGCTGATGGAGGAGTATGAGAAGCTTGCCAGTGAGGTGAGGCTGGGCTCCCACTGTGCTCTGCCCATCCCGGCCCTACTGACTCTCCCAACCCTGCTAACCCCAAGCGTGGGCCTGCAGAGCCTCCCTCTGCTCAGAGTAGCCCTGGCTTCCTCCAAGCCTCCTCCTGTCCATCTCCACCCAGCACTTGCCCTTCTGCCAACCCAAGCTCCTGGTCAGTCATTGATTGACTCATCATTCATCCGTTTACTCCTGCATTGATCCATTCACTCGTATTTAGGTAGTCACATGGCCCTTTGCTCTGTGCCAACCTATACTAGCCCCTGGACTCAGAAATCAGCCATCCGACTCCTTCTCTGACTCATGGGGACTACCCCATTCTGCCTTCATATTTGTCAAAGTCACCCCCACCTACCCTCTGGCCACAGCCTGGGTGTGGGTGGAGAGGGGTGGGTGAGCCGGGCAGGTCAGCTCAGAGGTCTCTGCTTTGCCCCTGCCTGGCCCTGTCAGCTGCTGGAGTGGATCCGCCGCACCGTCCCATGGCTGGAGAACCGTGTGGGCGAGCCCAGCATGAGTGCCATGCAGCGCAAGCTAGAGGACTTTCGGGACTATCGGCGTCTGCACAAGCCGCCCCGCGTTCAAGAAAAGTGCCAGCTGGAGATCAACTTCAACACACTGCAGACCAAGTTGCGGCTCAGCCACCGGCCTGCCTTCATGCCCTCCGAGGGCAAGCTGGTCTCGGTGAGCTCTACACACATTCCCTGGGTGAACTTGGGGTCCGTATCCCCATCTGTACAATGGGCAAACAGTGATGGAGGGCACCCCTGCCTGCTCCACAGGACATCGCCAATGCCTGGCGGGGGCTGGAGCAGGTGGAAAAGGGCTATGAAGACTGGCTGCTCTCGGAGATCCGACGCCTGCAGCGACTCCAGCACCTGGCCGAGAAGTTCCGGCAGAAGGCCTCCCTGCACGAAGCCTGGACCCGGGGTAGGTACACCTACCTCACGGGGCTGGACTGTCTCCTGGGGTGGAGATAGGTGTGCAGGGGCGGGAGGGGAGGTTCTTGGCAAAATGCTCGGGACAAGGGTAGGTGCTCTGCAGGGAAGCCGGAGACTGGATTTCTAATCCCACCCTGACTTGCTGTGGTGCAACCTGGGCCTCTCTTTGGGCCACTGCCCCTCTGTGGGCCAAAGTTTGTTTTGTTTTCTGAGACAGAGTCTTGCTGTATTCCCCAGGCTAGTAAAATCTCGGCTCACTACAATCTCTGCCTCCTGGGATCAAGTGATCCTCCTGTTTCAGCCTCCCAAGGAGCTGGGACCACAGGTGTGCGCCACCACGCCAGGCTAACTTTTTGTATTTTTTGTATAGATGGGTTCTCACTTTGTTGCCCAGGCTGATCTCAAACTCCTGGGCTCAAGCGATCCACCCACCTCAGCCTCCCAAAGTGCTGGGATTACAGGCATGAGCCACCGCACACCCGGGTGTTTATCTGTAAACTCAGCCTTCCCCCTCACCCCCCAGCCCTGCTCTGGTCTTCTGCTCTGATTAATTCATCAGTTAGCATTTTATTTTATATGTATCAGGTGTACAAAGGTGAGTCCATTCCTCACCCTAACATCACTTATGTCATACTCAAAGTATCCTGACGCTAAAATATTGCACGAGTCAAATATATTACTCTGGATAGAAACATCCATTCGGTGTTCTGTCGAGGATTTTAGTGATGAACAAAGGAGGCCGGTTCAGGGGCTCATGGGGGTTACAGAATCGTTGAGAGCTATTTTAAGGTCAAATTACGCCAAAACTGTACCAAAGGCCCCTTGGTCGTAGCTCGCTCAGGGCACGCTGATATAGTTTACGGATCACACCACGGAAGAGGAGTTTCATCTACGTTATTACACCGACGCCGCAGAGCAAACCCCTAGTAGGGGCTAGGCCGGTGTGGTCGCCACCTTAGCAGATGAGGCTTCGTGGTCACAGAGCCCGGCCCGCACCCCTGCCCCTGCCGCCACTGGGTGACCGGAGCCGGCCTCTCTTCGAGCAGGGAAGGAGGAGATGCTGAGCCAGCGCGACTACGATTCGGCTTCGCTACAGGAGGTGCGGGCGTTGCTGCGGCGCCACGAGGCCTTTGAGAGCGACCTGGCGGCGCACCAGGACCGCGTGGAGCACATTGCCGCGTTGGCCCAGGAGCTCAAGTAGGCGGGGCCTCGCGGGGCCCGCTCCCAACACCCCTGGCCCTGCCCCCGGCGGCGAGCCCCGCCCTGATCCCCATTTCCCTCCTCAAGACCCCAGGCTCTCCCGAGTTCTTCTGTAACCGCGCCGCCGTGGTACCCAGGTCCCATTCGCTCCGCCCCCTCCTGGAACCCCACCCCCATCTCCGGACCCCGCTCTGCTGCCACCACTCTTCCCACTAGGGCTTGACCTGTCCCACTCGTGGCCTGCCCTCTAACCTGTCCGCTCTCTTCACCCGGCTTACTGCCCCAAACCCTCCCCATCAGCTTTGGGCTGGCCACCCCCTCCCATGAACCCGCCCCTCCACCCAAGCACCTCCATGGACTGCAGCTAAGGACGCGCGGGCGCCCACCTACACAGAGGGATGCGCGGGGACCGCCCCCTCTTGGAAAGCACCCAGCTTTACCCACCACCTGCCCTGGCTCCCGCACACCTTCACCCCCACCCGGGGCGCGGGTGAAGTGCAGTTAGGACATCTGGGCTGGGGCTGGCCCCAACTCGCCCTACTTCTCGCTCCCAGTGAGCTGGACTACCATGAGGCAGCCTCAGTGAACAGCCGCTGCCAGGCCATCTGCGATCAGTGGGACAACCTGGGCACCCTGACCCAGAAGAGGCGGGATGCGCTAGAGGTGGGGCTGGGGGCCGGGCAGCTGGGGGTGGGTAGGTGGGTGAGGCCAGGTCTGCTGGGCATGCTGCTGACCCACTATGCCCCCCACCCCTAGCGGATGGAGAAGCTCCTGGAGACCATCGACCAGCTTCAACTGGAGTTCGCCCGGCGGGCCGCACCCTTCAACAACTGGCTGGACGGTGCCGTGGAGGACCTGCAGGATGTGTGGCTGGTACACTCTGTGGAAGAGACCCAGGTGGGTGCCAGGGTTGCAGGGGATGGATGGGATGACAGGGAAGCTGGCCCCAAATTCTGCCAGCCACAACTTTAGGCTCCTAGGGCAAAGGGATGGGAGGAAAACCCCAGTTCCTGAGTGCTGGGCTGGAAGACAGGAGGCCGGGGTTCTTGCGTCAGGACTTCTCAGGACCGCTGGGTGGCCCAGGGCACACTGCTGCCCTTTCTGTTGCCTATGGTAAGTGGGGGACACCAGTTGACGCTTCCTGCCTGTCACCCCCAGAGCCTGCTGACAGCGCATGATCAGTTCAAGGCAACGTTGCCCGAGGCTGACCGAGAGCGAGGCGCCATCATGGGCATCCAGGGTGAGATCCAGAAGATCTGCCAGACGTATGGGCTGCGGCCCTTCTCCACCAATCCCTACATCACCCTGAGCCCGCAGGACATCAACACCAAGTGGGATATGGTCAGTGCCACCTGCAGCCTTCCTCCCACCCACTCCTGCATACTCTGACCCCCCTGAAACTTCAGGTGGCCCAAGATATGGAGAATAAAGTCCATCTTCAGATCTAGGGTCTGCCAGACTCCACGTGGGACTGGATAAATCACCTTGTCTGTCTTGGGCTCATCTGTATATGATGAGCCGTAACAGCAGCATTCTCCTGTCAGGATTGATGTGAAGTAGAATTAAGCCTTGTGTGTGGACATCTTTTATAAATCCACCCATATTAGTTATAAATGATGCCATCAGCCCCATTTTGCAGATGACAAAACTGAAGCCCACAAGGGTTAGTGACTTGCCCAGGAGCTTTCTTGCATATCCCAGACAAGTTGGCTCAAAGCAACAGGGGCTGAGGTTTGAGGGGCTGGAGCCCATTTCCCCTAAAGCCATTTCCCAGCCCCCAGAGCTGGCTCTGGCATAACCGCCCTCCTCTCAGGTCCGAAAGCTGGTGCCTAGCCGTGATCAGACACTGCAGGAGGAGCTGGCACGGCAGCAGGTAAATGAAAGGCTCCGGCGACAGTTTGCGGCCCAGGCCAATGCCATTGGACCCTGGATCCAGGCGAAGGTGGAGGTAAGGGCTGGGACAGTGGGTCCAACCTGGGGAGGTGCGGCTAGGGCTGGGCCACAGGGAGTTGGGAGCCCTCATGCTGCCTGGGAACCCCTGCAGGAAGTGGGGCGGCTGGCAGCAGGGCTAGCCGGCTCTCTGGAGGAGCAGATGGCTGGGCTACGGCAGCAGGAGCAGAACATTATCAACTACAAGACTAACATTGACCGGCTAGAGGGTGACCACCAGCTGCTGCAGGAGAGCCTGGTGTTCGACAATAAGCACACCGTCTACAGCATGGAGGTGGGATCACAAACTCTCAGGAGAGAAGGGAGGCAGCGCTGGCTGAGGAGGCCCAGGGAGACCACAGCTGGACAGAGCATGCATGTCCCAGCAGGGTCCCCAGTTCAGCCTGGACAGGTCCCTTAAGACCCAGCGATGGAAAGTGACCCTTCCAGAGTCACAAAGCAGTCCAAACCCAGGCCAGGACTGGCCATAGCTGGTTATCAAGAGATAGGAAGGACTGCTGGGGGTTACTCAGTGGAGCCTCCAGATGGGGATGGAGGCCCGGTGAGGGGGAGGACTTGCCCAGGGTCAGTAGACTGGATGTGGAGCTAGAGCCAGTGGCCAGGCACTGGCCGCCCACTGACGGTGGCCTGTCCCCGACTGCCAGCACATCCGCGTGGGCTGGGAGCAGCTGCTCACCTCTATCGCCCGCACCATCAATGAAGTGGAGAACCAGGTACTGACCCGAGATGCCAAGGGGCTGAGCCAGGAGCAGCTCAACGAGTTCCGAGCATCCTTCAACCACTTTGACCGGGTCAGCAGGGGCCTGGCCCTGTGGGGTAAGACACTTGGGGGCTGGTGGAGGCTGGAGACCAAGCCTGATATCCACACACCCCCTACAGAAGAGGAATGGGATGATGGAGCCTGATGACTTCCGAGCTTGCCTCATCTCCATGGGCTATGACCTGGTGAGTGCCCCCCAGCCCCTTCCCAGGAGTCCCAAAGTACCCCCTCCTCTGTGCTGATCACCTACTGTGCGCCTCCCATCTTCACATACACCATCCCCTGCATCTTCATCACATCCACACAGGGGCTAGCAAGGCTCAGGGAGGTAAACTCACTTGGACCCAGTTCTGTGTGGACCCAAAGTCTGAGCTTGCAACATTTTTACCTGTAGGGAAACAGCACTACAGAAACAGGTATGGCCCTGGAAAAAAAATCAGGACCAGGGAGCAAATCTGCTTCCTGCTATAGGTAGGATGCAGATTTCAGCCTACCATAAAGGACGTCCTATAGCCAGGACTAAGGTCTCTGGAGGAAGGGAACACCCTTGTTACTGGGGCTCTGCTAGCCAAGGCTGGACAGTAGCCAGGAGGGGACATCCGGACCCCTCCTGGCTTTAGTGCTCATGGGCATAGTGCCTGGCCCCTATCTCTGCAGGGGGAAGTGGAGTTTGCTCGCATCATGACCATGGTGGACCCCAACGCAGCTGGGGTGGTGACCTTCCAGGCCTTCATAGACTTTATGACCCGAGAGACAGCCGAGACTGACACGGCTGAGCAAGTTGTGGCCTCCTTCAAGATCCTGGCAGGAGACAAGGTGAGTCCCAGGTGGTGGAGGGGCTGGGGGGCTGGGGCAGGGCATAGGACCTGTGGGTCCTCAACGCCTCTTCTCCCCAGAACTACATCACCCCCGAGGAGCTGCGACGCGAGCTCCCCGCCGAGCAGGCCGAGTACTGCATCCGCCGTATGGTGCCCTACAAGGGATCCGGGGCCCCAGCTGGAGCCCTGGACTACGTGGCCTTCTCCAGTGCCCTCTATGGGGAGAGCGACCTCTGACCTCAACCACTGAGGGTCTCTATGCAAGATGGAGAGAGGGTGCACCCTGTGGCTGATCCCATCCATCCCTCAGAGCAAGGGCCTGAGAGAACAGTCAGCCAAGTGCTTCTGAATAAAGATCCCTCTGTGGGTCTCTCCCCATCTCCTTTTGGTTCCTGAAGCAGAAGCTGGGCCCTCAGGCTCCTGGGCAGGACCAGCTATCCCACCTTGACCCACCAAAAGTCCTGCCCTCCCTCCTCACCCCCGGGGACTGAGCATTCATACCACACTAGGGACCAGGACACATCTTTATTGCTGTTAGAAAAGGTTGGTTACAAGTTTCCTGGACGTGGAGGGGGACACTATCCCTAAATCCAAGGGAACCAGAAAATTTATAGTATCAAACAGAGGAAAGCGGAGGCAGGACAGAGCTGGGCTTAAGATCAGAACATTTTCTTCCTGCTCATTACCCGAGCCCAGAGTTCTTGCCCCAGCTTCAACTGCCAAGATACCACCCTTCACCCCAAGATCCTCCTAAGCTACCACAATTCAACAAAGGTGCAGGTGCAGAACTTCAGGGTGGGAGTGGGGTGCAGGGAAGCAGGGGCTGTGCCCCAGCCCAGTGCCCTCTGCTCACCCTGAGGTACCCAGTGCCTGTCCCTCTGCCAGCTGTACCTCCCGGGGAGGGGCCTGGACACGTCAGGCTGCAGCAGCGGCCACTCTGATCAGCACCAGGTCCTGAGCTGGGGGCCCCTCCTCAGTCCACCACCGCCGAGCTGGCCATGGTGTTCACACCACAGGCCCCAGACCCGCGATGCAAGTAGTAGTAACCCTGGGGGAGAGGGGGAGCTGGTGAGGGCACCAGGGTAGGATGGCAGCTGGGGGGCCAGAGGCCAAGCCGGCAAGACTCACCTTCTCACCCCAGTCAGTGCCCCAGCTGTTCTTGATGGCCCAGAAGGGAATGTCAGAGCCTGGGGTGCAGTGCAGAGCACAAGGATCAGGGCCCTTAATTCTCCAGGCAGAGCCTTAATCACTTTGCACCTTCAAATACTTGCACTGGGCCTACTGTATGACAAGGACTAGGAAAAGAACAGAAAGCAAGGGGCCCACCTACCAGCCTCAGGGAGAAGCCCTGGGGCAGGGAGGAAGCACTCACCCACCCGTCTCTTGCAGGTCATCAATATTTACCCTCCCACAGCTCAGCTTCCCTTCCACAGACAGGACAGATGATGCCCGCGTGGCCATGGCCCAGGCAGCGGGTAAGGACAGGGTTCCTAGGCATTCCCCCTATTTCCCCTCTAGAGGACTTGAGATGCTGTGGTCCCACCCCTGCCTGTGGCCTGGCTGGATGCAGGATAGGCAGCGGAACTCACGGTTGCCATAGCCCACAAGCAACACCGCATGGTCGATGAGCCAAGGGCTGCAGAGGGGCCGGAGAGGGCGGGAGATCCCATGGCGGTAAAACTGGAGGTGGAGAAGGAGTAGGGGATCAACTCCAAGATGAGGTCGGGGAGGTCAACAAGAGATGGGACAGGGGCAGTGGGGCTAGGGCCTCACCTGCATGCCAAAGGCATTGATGGCCACGGAGATTGGGCCTCTCTTGGCCAGCCAGGCCGCCAGCTCTGAGATGGGAAAGGGTGGCATCAGTGGGTACCCAGGCCCTGGCCCCACCTTGCCTCACCTCACCCCGCCCCTCACTCACTCTGCTCATTCTGGCTCAGCTCCACGGAGTCATTGATGTAGACCTTGGCCTTCTCTGCTGAGAAGCTGCAGGCCTGCATGTGGCCCCGGTAGCTGTAGTCATCCTCTGTCTCCAGCCCTCCTGGGGAACGGTGCGGGTGAGTACAGAAGGGTGGGCTCCCATTTGCCATTCACAGCCAGAAGTGGACTAAGCACCCTACATGAGGTTCCACATTCCTCATCCACCCCAGGCCACAGGCCATCCCCCCTGAGGAATGTCTTCATTTTAGAAATGATACATCTGAGGCTGGGAGAGATGGGGAGGAGGGACCAGCACCCAGCAAGAAAAGTGGCAGAGACAGAACTCAGCTCCAACTTCTGACTCCTCACCAAGGGCTCCTCCCAGCAGTCTTTCACCCAGGCTGGAGTACAGTGGCACAAACATGCCTCACTGTAGCCTCAACCTCCTGGGCTCAAGCGATCCTCCTGCCTCAGCCTCCCAAGTAGCTGAGACTATAGATGCAAGCCACCATGCCTGGCTAATGTCTTTAATTTTTTGTAGAGATGGGGTCATGCTATGTTGCCCAACCTGGTCCTGAACTTCTGGTCTTAAGTGATCTTCCCACGTTGGCCTCCCAAAGTGTTGGAATTACATGCATGAGCCACCACACCTGGCTGGGTCAGCATTAAGACTTCAACTTAGCTCTGTGTGACTCTCACGCTCACATCTCCCCCCATCATAAAGTAACTTCTTGCAGAGGGAGAAGTGGCTCCAGTTGCCCCTCCTGACCCCGTTAATGCATACCCAAATTCTTTATGGCTGAGTAGGCGTTGGAGGGCAAGCCGCCCATGCAGGCCTTGTCCATCTTGTCACAGTCCAAGAGCTCTAGGAGACAGAAGGCTGGTCCCAAGAAGCCCTCCTGAGGGGCTAGGCTGGGGACAGAGGGGTAGAGCGAGATGCTCACCCTGTTCAGAGAGGGAGAGTAGGGTCCCCTGGTTCAGAAACCACTGGCCCTCCACGTTGCCTGTGACTGAGAAGGCCCAGCAGGAGCCACACATGCCCTACAAGAGATGGGTGGAGTCAGAGCTGGATCCCTTCACCAGCCCCAGTGCAGTGCCCATGTCCCACCCTCACTTCTAGGGGTCCAACCTGGTCCTTGACTTTTGTGACAGCCCCCTTACTCCTCCAGTCCCATTCAGGTGGGGCGAGGTCACCCACAGACTTGGCTTGCTTCATCTTGTTGCCAGGCTCTTCTCTCAGGAGGGGATTCAGGTAGATGGTACGGAACTCCTCCTCTGCAGGCAAAGGTGGGCAGGGCATGGGGAGAAAAGTGTTCTAAGCCAGACCTGACCAGAGGCCTTGCAAGCAAGGTCCTATCTCTTCCTGGCTCCATGAGGACTCTGGCCACTATCCCTACCTGTGAGATCACTGAACTTGGTGACTCCATACTGAGCTGTGCCACGGTCCAAGGCCTGGATCTTCTGTGCTCGCACCATGTTATTGACAAAGACGGACAGGCGCCACCGGGCTTCTGAGGACCAAAGAGCAGAAGAGGAGGGGCTTGACCCCAGGCAGATAAAAGGACGGGCAACTGGGGCTAGCTGGCAGGGGTTTCCCCGCGGAGTAGGTAGGGGTGGGGGCCAGACATGCAAGTGATGGAGTGGGAGGTCTGATCAACTTTTGGGGCCAAACTGAAGTGATGACTTCCCAGGTGCAAAAGCAGTAAATGGGGTCTTAAGGACACTACCCACAAGAGGTGGTGGCGAAAGGCCATGTTGTCAAGGACTCTCCAGCACAAAAAATCCGGCCTCTGCCCTATCCCACCCTGCCCAGAGTGATGGAGACGCATGGCTTTTTTTTTTTTTTTTTTTTAAGGCAGAGTCTCACTCTGTCCGCCAGGCTGGAGTGCAGTGGCACAATCTCAACTCACTGCAACCTCAGCCTCCCGAGCTCAAGCAATTCTCCTGCCTCAACCTCCAAAGTAGCTGGGATTACAGGCGAGCGCCACCACGCCTGGCTAATTTTTGTATTTTTAGTAGAGACAGGGTTTCAACATGTTGGCCAGGCTGGTCTTGAACTCCTGACATCAGGTGATCCGCCCACCTCTGCCTCCCAGAGTGCTGGGATTACAGGTGTGAGCCACCTCGCCCAGCCAC